TGTATGCACTCGATGCTGTTTGTGGAGGAGGGAAGAAGAAAGGGAGACCCAGTCACTTAGGAGTTGTTGAATAAGGAAGCCCATTGCGAACCTTGCCCCCCTCTGCCCTGGTTCCGGGATTGAGAGGTTGAAACCCTAGAGCTGGATTAAAGTTCTTTTTAAAACATTTCCCCCTCTGAGGATACACATAATACATGTTCACGCTGGAAAGTCTCCAAAAATAGGGAGAATAAATATTACCTGTGATTTTACCACCCGGAAACCATCACGGTTGACCTCTAGAGCCCAGCCTTTTCATCACACCTTTTTGCATTTAGATCGTCAAGTTTAAACGCAGCTCTTGAAGGACTGTGTGCAAATGCAAGAGGGAAATTTGCAACAGCAAAAACACTTGCTCCCGAAGTAAAAATCTGGGCGGCTGCTGGAATCCTTGCGCACGCGGGGCTGCTGTCTGCCCCGAAGGCCTTTGCCCATCTTCTGCAGGTGGTGGGAGCTCACCTAAGCAGCTCATCCCGCCCCTTCTCATTCCTCCAGGGCCCGAGGCTCTTTGTGTGCGGGACTTTCTCTTCCTAGGCAGGAGCGGGGGAACCTATTTACGAGATCACTTGCAGGCCATACTGGTCAAACGTGTAACAGACTCATCTTCACTGTGAGGGCTGTAGGAGCCCTGGGGTGCAGTGGTTATGTGTTGTGCTTCGATCCACATGTCGGCAGTTTGACTGGGCTTGCTACTCCCGTGCACAGTTCAGTTTCGGAAACCCACAGGGCTCCACCGAAGGCAGTAAGTTTGGTTGGTCAGTTCGATGCCTACTGGAGCTCCCGTGGCATAGTGGTGATGTGTTGGGCTGCTAGGTCTGCAGTCAAAACCACCAGCTACTGCAGGAGTGAAAGGCGAGGTTTCTGTTTCTCTAAAGAGTTACAGCCCTGGAAACTCACGGGGGCAGTTCTACCCTGTCCTGTGGGGCCACTGAGTCAGCCTCGACGCAATAGCAGTGCATTTGTTTTCTTGGTTAATGTAATGACCAAGGAGCCCCAGTGGCACAGCGGTTTACAAGTTGGGCTGCTATTCGCAAGGTCAGCAGTTTGAAACCACCAGCTGCTCCCGGGGAGAAAGACGAGGCTTTCTACTCCCATAAAGAGTTACAGCCTTGGAAACCACAGGGTCAGTTCTCTCCTGTCCTGTAGGGTCACTGTGGGTCAGAATGGACTCCGTGCCAGTGAGCTTGAGACTGTGGCAGTTAGGAGCTCTGGTGGGATAGTGGTTCTATGTTGGGCTGCTAACCTTAAGGTCAGCAGTTTGATCAACCGCTACTCAGGAGAAAGACGAGGCTTTCTACTTTGCTGAAGAATCACAGCCTCTCTACCAGTGGCAGTTGGCTCACTGTAACTGCTTCTCTGTGGTGAGGTGTGGGGTAGCAGCTGGTACTGATGACTGTGCGCCTTTTATAGCCTGGGGGCTGGACGTCCCCACCCCTGCCCAAAGCATCACAGTAAAGGACAGGTGAAGATTGAATAAGAATCCCTATCCACAACCTGTGAAACAGGACTCCGAGGACGTCACCTGGGAGGGAAAGAAAGGATATGATTTATTTCATTGCTTTGTTGAATAAAAAGGAAGGCAATCCTCGTCCTCAGGGGGCTTTGCCGTCTGTGAGCAGAAAGAGAAGCAAGCAAGGACGGGCACAGGGCATGTCCGTGGGCATAAAAGTGCTCCCGAACACCTTGCCGTCATCTTGTTCCTGGAGCGTGGTGACTCAACAGTCCAAGGTTTCCCAAGCAGAGACAGCCCCATCTTTCTCCTGGGGAGCCTCTGGTGGCTTGTCCCACCCACCCTACAGTGAAGCAGTCCAACACTTGCCGACAGCGCCCACCCCCACCCCCACCAAGCATCTTATTAGAAATACAGCGGTGGCCTACCGCACGCAGAGAGGGAGCAGAGATGGTCTTGTGCAGGAGGGCGTGACGGAGTTGGTCCTGAATGGGAAACTAGCTTACGGGGCAAGTGTGTCCAAGGACCCGAGTTTCCAGAATCTTTGAGGACACGGAAGTAGTTTGGCATAGCTGGAGCATGATATGGATTCAAAGTGACTAGCCAGGCAAAACAGTGACGAAGATCTTGGAGTCGGCGTGGAGCGTGATCTGATGTTGTTGCCGTTTGCTGCCATTAGCCCAACCATAGCGACCGTTACACAGCCGAACAAAGCATTGCCGCTCCTGCACTCTCCTCCCCGTAGTTCTCACGCGCCAGCCCATTGCCACGGCCGCTGTGCCAGCGCATCTCCACTTTACCAGCAGGATGTCCTTCTCCAGGGACTGGTCTCTCCTCGCAGCCTGTCCAGTCTGTGAGAGGAAGCCTCGCCATCCTGGCCTCTAAGGTAAGGTGACCATATCTTAACATCGGTAAAGCTGGACACCAGTGATAAAACTCATATCCTGGCGAAATAGCCACATGGCAGCCGAAGTATACCCTAGCTTGTCATCCATTCTTTCCAGAAATCGGCACTTTTTTAAAACGCCGTGGGACGCGGGAAAACTTGTTAAAAATCGGGACTGTCCCGCCAAAAGTGGGACGTCTGGTCACCTTACTCTAAGGAGCACTCTGGCTGCACTTCTTCCAAGGTAGATGTGTCTGTCCTTTTGGGTCCGTGGAACTTTCAGTGTTCTTTGCCAGCACCACACCTGCAGCATCGCTGCCTTTGCTTTATCGACCGGGAGAAACCACTGACGGCCTTTCCTAAGAAGCTGAGACTTAGCTGGGCACACTTTCAGAAACCTTACACAGTGCAATAAAGGGTGGATGGAAGCGGGTGACGTTCAAGCAGGGGTGTGGTTGGGGGATTTTCAAAAAACGATCCCAGCAAAAGAGGCCTGGCCAAGGGCCACAGTAGAGGCCGTGATTCTCGGCTGCCTGGGCTGGGGGTGGAGACAGGGGGTGCCTATAAATGGCTACAAGGGATCTTGGAGGGGATGGGAATGCTCTAACACTGAACTGTGCTGATGGTTGTGCAATTCTGTAAATTTTCTACAATTTTCAGACGAGTGAGTTTTACGGGATGTAAATTACACGTCAATAGAGCTGGGGGGGTGTGTTAGTGAGAGCAGAGCGATCTCTTGTGAGAGTAGCGTGGCATTGAGAAGACCCGGCGAGGAACACGGATAGAAGCTAGACTTCTACAACTATCTGCTCTGCCACGGATCCTAATTCTGCGCCCAACATTTTTGTAAAGAGACGCCAACTCTCTTTCATTTGATGGATTGCAACGTATGTGGATCCGCCTTAAACTGGCACTGCAGAGTGTTTGCCCCTGGGTCCCTATTGGAAACCCCCTCCTTCCACTCTCTGCCCTCCCCCCTCCCCACCAGTCCTTAGTAAACACTTGATTCTGCCCCCCAATACTCCATGACGTATCACCCGAAGGCCGTGCCGCCCATTCGTTTCTCTGGACGCTGTGTTTGCATGTTAGGGCTGTGCTGGTCACGTTGCAGCGGGTAAAGCAGAAGTAGTGCCTGCTTACGGAGTTTAGAGTCCAGCCATGGAGACAGATGGCACGGTGTCAACAACAGCTATGTAATAAGATGCAAACTGATTATTGGAGAAATGCTGTGGGAGACATCGCCTACATCATCATTCAGTCTCCCCTTGATAAGACCCAGGAGAGAACTTTCTACCCGACGCTGCTGGCGTTTGGCTTGGCCGTGTCTGCCTGCCTTCCCATTGCTCCGGGGCACCTGCGCCATCTTGTTGGGCTGTGCAAACAGGTTCCCTCGGCCATGGAGACCCCGTTCCAGCCACGTCACAGACACCTCCAGGGAAGCCTTCCCTGCCGGCACCTCCAGGGGCGGTTTCCTTCCACGCCCGCCCCAGCTAGGTCTCGTCCCCACTTTTGACGGCACAGTAGCACTTCGTTTCCCTTCTTTCTACATTGTCCGTGTTGGGTTAAACACCGTACATGCTCGTGTGGAAGCCGAGTTTTCCAGCGCATTCTTTATGCAGTCTTTGTGGTAAAACCAGGTGCCTCGGCTGGTATTCGGGGCGGCTCATGCTCGAGAATATCCGGCAAACAGTTGTTTGGTGACTTCTGCACGGGGCCAGGCAGTGCTTCGTCTGTTGTCCGTGAGTGGCTCTGAGCTGGAGTCACCTAGCAGCAGCAGCAACGTCATCTCAGCATCGTGCACATTAGTACCGATGACAGGGCAGTCTGCCAGGGCCGGGGCCTCGCTCTTCTTGTTTGTTACAGTGTCTCGAGGTGGTAATACAGCACCGCAAACAGACAGATGCTCAATGAATGTGTGCAGTGCGTTAGAATGAACGAGTGGATTTTGGCACTGGATTTGTTTTTGAGTCCTATTGACATGTTATTCACGAGTCCACTGATGTAGTTGAACTACAGCACAAGGAGTTGTGCAGTCACGGCCACAATTCGTTTTATCGGGCACTGGTCTTTTAGCAGTGTGCTTTCTCTTTTTGGCTTTGGCTGTCGGGAGGGAAGCTCAGGCCCCCTTGCCTTCTCCCTGTGCCACTTCGTAGACGCCCCACGGCGTGCATCTCTGCACTCACCGCCCCCCCGCCTGCATGATGCTTTCCCTTTCTCGGGCTTCTGCACCTTTCTGTATTCTCAGAGGCCACTTTGAGTCTGTTTTGGAAGAAATAATAAAGTAAGCAATTGAATATGCGGACAGGAGAAAGAAAGGGAAGGTCAAAGGGGGAACCTCATTGCCTGTCGTCAGATGCAAGAGGGAAGCTTTGTTTAAATTTTCTTTTAATTATGAAGGGGGGTGGCGATGTGTGCTCCGATTTGGCAGGAAATGCCTCTGAAGAATGGGGGGCCTGGCCCAGCCCGGAGATGTTCCTCCGGGTGGCAGGAGACAAGGGGCGCTGGGCTCGCAGGGGTGATGGGGCGTGAGGAGGCGCTCTGAGCAGCTGAGGAGATAGTGCTGGTGTTGTTTTCCCTGTGGATCCGAAGAGGAGGAAGCAATGACCTTGTCCTCTTGTGTTGCAGATTCAGTGGTTCTTACCTTTGACTCCGCTGGACAAACACTAGGCTCAGGTACCAATCCTCCCCCTCTGCCATCGGTTCTGCTCTCAACATGGGCCACCCTGAAGTGGAGCCCCAGGTGGGGTGGGGGGCGGGTCTGAGGAGGGTCATGGGATGTCTCAGAACTTCTGGAAATGCCTTCTCTGGAAGCCTAGGCTGCCCCAGTGGGACACAGCATCCAGTTCCTTGAAGCGGGTGGTCTGGATCGTTTGCAATAGATGCGTGTCCTCGTTCAGAGTGGCCCAGACTCCTGTCCTTGCATATTTCCGGTCTCAAAGGACACTGAGAGACCCCCAAGCTCGGGGCATACTCCTGGAGTAGGCGACCACCAGGACTTGCCACAGAAGGCCTGGTTGGTGAGAGCATTGCTCTGTGCTGAGGGGGTACACCCCACACTGCAACCTGCGCCGTACACCCCACGTTCGCCAATACACACACCCTCCAGGCGAGAACGACCACGTGTTGCCATGGGCTCTCAACTGCTCTTCCCGTGCCCTCACCCACGCGCCCGTGGCACGGAATAACCCGGCCGCGAAGGAGCTTGACGTTCCCAGGTCTGCGGCCCTTGACCAGCTGCGCATCACGTGTGTGGGGGCAGTGAGCAAGGGGAGAGCCCGTGAGGCCCCCATTCCTTTGTCTTGTGTGAAGAGTGTCTTGGGGCCTCAAGCCTGATGGCCTTTCTAATATTGGTGAGACTATTTAAATTTTCTTTAGATTTAGTATGAATCTGTTCTAACTTAGTAAAACAGTCATGCATGCATGGCAATTTCAGAAACACACTCTCCATTGCATTTGATGATGCACATCTTGTTACAGTAGGAAACTTTTCATGTGTTTGAAAACGTACCCCGATACCTTCCTAAATATTTCTGTTTTTCCCCCACAACCGTTTTATTGGCATATCGTTCACATACCATACAACCCAGATAATTCAATCACATTAAGAAGAGTCGTACGACCAGTTTTAGAACATTTTCTTATTGTGCATGATCATCGTTACTAGCTCCCCATTATCCTATCGCTCCCTCCCAACCACCCCTGCCAGGCCCACAAGAAACCATTAATCGAGTTACTGTCTTGGGCTTTGAGAATAACAAAACAGATAAAAACCCAATCGAAAGAAAGCAAAAACCCTAAAAATTAGAACAAATTTAAATGGACCGTAAGGGAGATGAAATGATAGCACGCTAAATTCTTACCTAACTGCGTCTGCAACAATCCACTGTCCAGTGCACTCTGCACGTGCGCAGTGAGGATGAGGGAGGGCAGTATTCCATGGAGGTGGCCCGTGAGTACCAGGGATAGTTTGCAGGCCTCTTGTGCGCAGTTAATCCATTTTTCTCTTCTTGAAAGCAATAGACTGATACTTCACAACCTAGCGAGAGGCTCAAGCAGTTGTGTCCGTGTGGATAAAGGGAAAGATGTCCAATGACTGGTGTCCGCCCGCCCCCTCCCCCAACCCCCAGCAAACTCACTGCCATCGGGTCGATGCTGACTTGCAGCGCGGCCCTACAGGACAGGTAGACTGTAACTGTGGGGCAGGAGGAAGCCCTGCCTTTCTCCCAAGGAGCTGCTGGTTCTTTCGAAAGGCGGCCTTGCAGTCAGCACCCACCGCAGGTCAGCAGGGCCCCTCGGGTGCGCTCGCAGAGGCCCCTGTTTCCTGACTGGCTCTCCGTGCTGACACTGTGCTAGCTGCTCGACACATGTCTTGGTTGCCCCTTCAGGTAGCTTTGCCAGGCAGATAGTGTATTTACAAATCATCGAGAAACGCCTGCTCCAAATGGTGAAGTAACCTGTCCAGGGCCACCCACCTCTCACTGGGACTCCTTGCATCTTCATCACCGCCGTTCTGGAGGGAAGCAGGAGAAGCCTCTTTGAGACAGAATGCCCGAGTGGAGAGTTCTCAGACAAAAACAAAAACTGCCTGTTCATCGGGGAAGAGACTGCTCCCTTTGAACACAGTAACGTGAAGAGCGAGCGTCTGTTCATCCGGGGGTCCCATTCAGAGAGAAGGGAATCCAGAGTGAGAGCAGCTACGTGCGACACAGTCGGCCGAGTGTGTTTGTGGAACATATGCAGAGCTATAAAAGCCAGTAGGAACAAAAGAAATACTCCAGGAGAGAAACTCACAAAAGACGCGAGCAGGCACTTCACAAAAGCGGAGACAGAAACGGCAGTAAAACTATAGAAATGGTGGCCCAGCCTTTGGGTTTCCTTGGTGGCAGATTCCTGGACGTCCTGAGGAAATGGGCATTGTCCACCATCGTACTGGCCATTACATGAAACAAGAGACCAAGCATCTATTGTTAATTACGGGATGTGCCATTGTTACAGGAAATTATAGGCTAGACTGTAATAAATTATAGCAAAAAACCAAACACAACAGAACGATAGAAATGTTTGCTTCCATGAGTAGCACCAAACCCACTGCCTGCCGGTCCATTCCGGCTCCTAGCAACCTGATATAGGGGTTTCCAAGACTCAGTCTTGGTGGGAGCAAAGAGGTTTGACTTACCAGCATTGTCACCTGTAGTGGACAGCAGCCCTATGCCTAACCCACGTGCCCCCAGGGCTCCTGGGAAATGCAAATTAGAGTCACAGTGATAGAACCAATGTTCACCTACCAGAAGAGCAAAACTGTAAACAGTGGTTCTCAACCTGAGGGTCGAGACTCCTTTGGGGGTCGAACGACCCTTTCACAGGGCTCACCTGATGCATCACAGTAGCAAAATGACAGTGATGAAGTAGCAACGAAAATAATTTTATGGATGGGGGTCACCACCACATGAGGAACTGTATGAAAGGGTCGCGGCATCAGGAAGGTTGAGAACCACTGCTCTTTAGAGTTTGACAATCCTATGTTGACGGTGTAGTGCAGTGGAAATTCTTGAATCTCCACTAATTTGACAAAAAATAAACCTCTGGTAGTTTCTACCTAACCTTGAATATACACATAAACTGTGAGCCAGTACTTCATCTTGTAGGACTGTTTCCTTCAGAAATACATGCTTGTGCACGTTAGGTGTTCTGTGTGGGAGAGGACGCTTGGTGGCACAGTGGGTTATGAAAGTGCCTGGCTGCTAGCCACAGGGTTGGTAGTTCAAGCCCAAAGCTGCTCCATAGGAGAAGGTCTGCTCAGCTTCCGGAGACCTAGCAACAGTTCTACGCCATCCTCCAGTGCTGCGAGTCGTAATCGGCTTGATGGCAGTGGGTTTGGTGGGGGGCTTATATGTGCAAGACTCAGCTATGGGAGCACATTCGTAAAACACCACACAGAGTCCACACACCTAGCAACAGTAGAATCGATAGGTAAACTGGGTTATAGTGATATAATTAGCATGGCACATCAGTACAATTGCGCAGACTACAGACAGATGCAAAACAGGAGTGTTAGAATTGTGAATCTAAAAGCTGTTGTTGAGTGAAAAAACAAAGTCAGACAAACTAGAATATGTGCTGTATGTTCATATAAAGTTCCAAACCAGGAAGATTAAATTGGATCTGCTTAGATGCTTAGTGAGGAGCACTAGTAGTGTAATGGGTTATGTGCTGGACTGCTAACCACAAGATCAGCAGTTCAAATCCACTAACCACTCCTCTGGAGAAAGATGAGTTTTCTGCTCCTCTAGATTTATAGCCTCAGAAATCCACAAGGGCAGTTGTACTCCGTCCTCCAGTCTCTGAGTTGGGGTCGGCTCAACGGCAGTAGGCTTTTGGTAGACATAGGATTAAGGACTACAATGATCAAGTAAAGCAAGGAAGAGACTCCCCTCATCGAATGGCTGAGTTCCGTCAGCAGGAGGAAGGAGAGTGACTGAAATTCGCCGTGGGAGGCTTGTGGTGGCCATGGTGACATTGGCAGCAGTGGGTCTGTCAAGCACCTACAACTCGGGGAGGAGACCTTCCTCTGATGAGAGCACCCGAGGCCCCCACAAGATGGGTGACGTCTAGTTGCCTTTTCCCCTCTCTGCCTCCCAGAGGAGGACCCTGTCTGTGAACTGCTGGTAACTAAAGTCCTAGCCCTTTGATCAGATAAAGGGCTGGTATACACTTCAAAGGGTATACACTTTCAGAGGTCCAGAAAGAACAAGAGAGAAAACAGAGTTGCTCAGTAAAACATCCCCACGAAATTGTTCGTGAACTTCCCGGCTCACTCATCGTAAGCTGTGCACATTCGTGTCTGATTCTAAAGACATTGCGAGTTGAACTAAAGAACAGACCACCATCACGGTCTGCCAGAAGAAGCCAGCTCCTAGCACAATCACTACGGGTTCGGTAGGCGCAATTTTACAGCGATAATAAGTGAAGATTATAGTAAAGTTATGGAGAACATGAGAGATAAAAGAGATATATAGAAATAAATGGAGTCAGACACATTTCATGGTAGCATTGCTCACCTCAGCCCAGCTTGGTGGTCCACGTGGAGAGAGAGAGAAGGGAAGGAGGGCAAGGGAACAAGGGAGAGGGGA